CCTAGAGTTTTTCGGTCAGGTAGATGTTTAATAATATTATTTTATTCATCAATTGATAGGAGATCCATAAGAGTATCATAAGTATTATTAGGAATGTCATCAATAGGATCATAGTATCTTTTCCAAATAGGCCAGTTTGAAGAGAAATTATTATTATTTAGATCTATGACATTTTTATTTGTAAAGCCAGTGACAGTTTGAAAATGTTATACAGTATAAAGTTTGATAGCATCAGGATCTAAAGCCAGATGTTGATTAGGTGTATTATGATTTACTAAGATACAGTCTAGTATAATAGTTTTTCTGTTTCTTTTTAAGAAGAAATCTATTATTTTTGTAGAAGCATCTTTGAAATTATCAACATGTCTTTGAATGAATTGATGTATACATTCATTATTTTCTTTTTAACTAATAAAAAGTTATTTTGTATGTAATAGTTTCAGAATGTTGTACTTTAGTTTATTTATGTATAGAAGTAGGCAGTTGTTATCATAATAGCCATTTAATGAACTAGAAGAAATAAAATATTCAGCTGCAGTTTTGAGAATAAAATTGTAATCTTTAGATGAAATGAGAAAGAAATTTTATGAAGTAATGTTGGAAGAAGAAGAAGATAGGGAAAAAATTTTGCATCAATAATAAAGTTTTTGAATTTTGTTAATTTATTTGTGGATTGAGGAATTTAAACATGAGTAAAGGGAATTGTGATGAGTTGATGTGATTTGTTTTAGAATGTATTTAAATGCTAACTTTATAATAGTTTGGGTAAAGAACTCCTATGCTTCATTGATTAGATAGTTAAAAGTGTAAAGGTTTTGGATGGAAATATCATTAAATTTAGTATTTTGTTTAAGTAATAGGTCAGCTTTATCTGAAAAGAGATCCCAATAAAGATAAGTAGTCTTATCATAAAAGAAGGACTGTTTTTTAATTTTATGTTATTTTTGATAGGTTGAGAATGTTTGAGAAAAAAAATTTTTTTTATAAAGAGTAATAAGTAATAGATAATGATCAGTTGAATAAAGATAACAGAAGTCATTTAAGATGTGAAATGAAGTGAGATTATGTAATAGATTGGTAGAGGTGAAGATGTAGTTTATATAAGAAGTTGAATCATAGGAAGAAAAGAAATGGAACATAGGGGGTATGTGAATTGAAAGGGGGTAAAAGTGTGAATGAAACTAAAATTAATGATATTATGAAGGAAATTTTGTAGCTACTTTTGAAATTTGAATCTATATTTTCTATTTATATCTATATTAAAATTTTCCATTAGAATAATATGAAAATTATGATGTAAACTATCTATTAAAATGTTCATCAATTTTTTTTGGACTTGAAGATGATATTGGTAATCTTTTTTATCATAATAAGAAGCAGGTAAATAAACTTAAATAACCTAAAGTTTGAATTTATTTTTAAATTGAAAGTTAAGATAAATAATACGATCAAAAAATAAAGCTTGATTAAAAATGAGTATGCTTAAATTATTATGAACTATCAATCTGATACCTTGACAGTTTTGATGACAATTAGAAGAATGAAAAAAATATTTAAAAGATTTGTTATGAATGTTCTTATTAAAATAATGAGCTTGTAACAGGTTAAGATGGGTTTCACTTAAACCTAATATGTTTATATTAAAGTTATTAAAAAAATAGTTAATAATTTAAAGTTTAGTTTCTAATAAACAGTTTCTAACATTATATGTTATGAAGGAAATGAGGTTTAGGTTATTGATAATATTTGTAAAAGAGTCATTTGAAAGAAAATTATTATTATGAGGATTCGTATAATGCAATTTTATATTATTATTGTTAGTTAGTTGTATACTCATTTAGAAGAAGAAGGAAGCGTTTGAAGGATCTGTTGGATGCTATTCGCAATATTTTTGATTTCAGATCAGGATTCTACAAATTGATTCTCTAAACTGGTAACTTTATCTAAAGGAGATATATTAGTTAAAAGATTTGAAAGAGGTCAATCACGTGATAATTCAAGTGATAGTTCTTGAGAAATATCAAATTCTATTTCACTATCATATATTCTTTTAGTATAAACAATATTGTTACATTTTTCCAATTTAGTTATACGATAGTCTATATCTTTTTGGTTTTCTTGAAGAATAATAATTTCATTTTTCACTGTAATAATTTTGTCATTAAGAGTGATCAGTTTATTATCTATATCAGTCAAACATTTCAAAATATCGTTTAGAGCAGTAGAAATATCTGAGATTTATTGTTGATGCTTAGGATTTTTATTAGTTTTCAGAGCATTAGCGTATGAATTTTATTGATTTTGATTCAATTATGCATTTACAGTATAGTTGTTTAGGCGTGAATTAGTTTTTCAAGGAGGTCTGTAAGTGGTAGGTTTGAAACAATTGTATAATTGCCTATATGGATTTAAAGGTCTTTGAGATATACAGTCTTTAGCTTTATATTTAGGGTTGTTACATCTTCTATAGTGAGGGGCAGCAAGATTAACCTAGAATAAGATATTTGATTTAAATTTATATTGAGATTTGATCGCAGAGTCATAATCATCTTGGTTGTCAAAATTGATATACGCATAAAGATGATTATGATATTAGAAATCACATGGTATAAAACATGTTTTTGCTTTAATAAACTCTAGAAAGGTTAGTAAATCTCGTTATGTTATGTTGAATGGTAATCCAGTTAGTTTTATTTCAAATTGTTATCGTAAGATTAATTACATAGTATCAAGGTCAGTAGGTTTAATACGAACTGTGAAATCTAATAATGATAAAGACCATACGTTATTATAAAAGGATTTTATAGCATCAGGTGATTCGTAGACTATAAATGTTATTTGGCAGAGGTCCTAATGATCATTAAAAATCTGGTAATAGTACCCATTATTAGAAAAATTTTGTATTACATTTGATTTGACAAATAAAGAAATATCATTAACTTTAATATATCTGCCTTTTTTAGCATCTATCCATTGTTTTTTGGCAGATAGATCAGTGATCACAAATATGGGGTTGTATTGTGTTTCCTGAACTTTTGTAACAGCATGTGTTAGTTGATCAAGAATTTGGAAATAAACAAAGAACTTTCTTAATTTGGAATTGTACAAAGTTTCTTGATAATCAGGAAAGTTAACAAAAAGCCTGTTGATGAAATTTTTTTTATTAGCGATAGATTTGCTAGTGATATCTGCAGCATTATCAGATATAAAAAAACACGTTAGAGAGATAATGATATTAAAAGTAGTATTTTTCACGTTGGTATTACGTGATTAGTTAGAATCATTTACATTTTATTCAACTTGATTAGCCCAAAAGTATTGTTTATTTTTTCCTTTGTCAGTAGAGGGTGTATATGAAGATTGACCAGTATTATTTGTTGAGTTCTTTGCATATATAAAATCATTTGTGTTAGCTTTTTGTGGTGAAGAAAGTGGAGTTTTTTTAGCAGAATCTATTTCCATTTCATAGACTTCAGAATCTTCAAAAACAAAGTTATTTTAGAGAGTAATAGAAGTGGGTTGCATAGTGTTTGGTGTTAGTTGAATGGTTTTTGGAGTTTCTGTAACTGTTAGAGTAGTATTTGGAGTTTCTGTAACTGTTGGAGTGATATTGAGTTTTGAAGTTTCAATTTTTGTCTTTTTGTAACTTTAGTAACTGTATCGTCATTTTTGTTCTTTTCGTGTTCGTTAGAGGATGATGTATTAGATTCTTTACTGTTTTCTAAAGAATTTGAAGTATTTTTATTATAAGATTTAGGTTTTTTTCTGTATGTACTTTATCTTCTAGTTGTTGGAGACATTTGATCAAAAAGATCAGCAGAAAGAGATTTTTTATTTTCTTTATTTTTTTATAATTATTAGTTAATAAGTTATTTTAAAAAATTGAAAAATTGAAAAATTAATATATATTAATAAATATTAATTTTAAAAATTTAAAAATACTATCTTTAGATAGATCTTAATCTGACAAATCTAATAAACTTTATTTCATCTTTTTATAATCACTAGATATTAAAATATTATAATTTTTCTACAATGTTTTATAGTCAATTTATACCTACACTTTAAGAAATAAGTGTCAAGTAATATAAAGATAAAACTGGTAACAATAAAGATCAGCCTAAACTTAGACATCTATAACTTTTAACTGGTCAATATGAATGAAAAGTTTTGAGATTAATTGTAATAGGTAATGTAACAATATTGTTGTAATTCAAAAAGAAGAACAAATTGAAGTTAGTAAATATACAATAAGAGAATTTTACATAGAAATAAAATGAGTATAAGAGTTAAATGCAAAAAACCATATCTTCGAAAAATATATAATGAAATTTGCAAAAAATACAAATCATGAACAGTAAGATGGTTTAGTCAAATGAGTCAAATATATGATTTATTGTTGAAAAAAGTCAGAAGAATCATTAAGAGACAATCATATCAAACTTACAGTTATATTTGGATGGGGTAATATTATGGTGTAGTGATGTTTTACATCTGATGGGATTGGTAACATATTCCGAATTTATGGACATATGAATGGTGATTTATATTGTCAAATTTTAAAGGAAGACCTATTAGGAACCATCATGTGGCATGGAATGGTTAAGGATAATATTATTTTTCAACAGGATAATGATCTTAAACACATTACACATCTTATAAAGCAACGGTTTAAATCCCATAAAACACCTTGGAATGAAATGGATCGTCGTCAGGATCAATTATGATCAATTATGGGATGCAATTCATAAAAATTTGGGTTGAATTGGGATCCGATGTATACAACGATTTCATACTATTGAATAGATAAGTCATATTTCTTGTCACAAGTTAATGATGCAATATTTTTTGAGCGCCACTGGTATATGTAAAGCTGATATAATAACTACTATACCATTAGAATCTTTTCAATGAACTGTTTTGGTATAATTTTGGGAACATTAGCGATAGGATTGTCTCATGTATACGCCGGAACTTTTTGTTAATTTATCGAACGCAAGATCAACATTTCCTCCACCGTATTGAAATTCTTATCAAAAACGTATCTGTCACTTGATCCGTATATGCGTGGTAGAATGAGAGTCTGTGAAAAAAATGAAAAAAATTATATAAACGCATTCTCCGTGGGAAAGGTCATGGAGGCTGGTGGTGTTGGTGTTGTAATTGCTAGTAATAATGATCAATGGAAAAAAGGTGACTAATCTGGGTATGGACATCAGCTAAAATTTACGCAATTAATCACGTTATATTATTTGCAGAGCAGTATATTTTTTCAGTTCGCATCGAACTAATTAAAAAAAAATTTATGCAATTAATCACGTCCTTTTTGTGTTATATTATTTTTGCAAAGCAGTACATTTTTTCCCTATTTCAGCAAGTGGTTCAAGCATAAAATTTAACAATGCGATATCAATCCCAACATTCACAAGTGTAATAATGGATAAGGTTGGAGAAATGATGAAAATTCCCAAGAGTATTGCCAATGGCGTACACACAATTAATGGAATTAATGTATAAACGCGAACTTTATTGTCATAAATAACACCGAGCCTTTCCATAGTTGTTCTCAGCAAAAGAACTTTAGCTAAGTAGTATATACTATTTAATAGTACAATAAAAAATTTTGTTGACGATTCCTCGCTTTTGAAATACAACCCATAGATTGATATGATGAGACAAGTGATGAATGTGTATATGGTACAGCCCATTATTTCTGATCCAACCTCCTATAAGGTTTCGTGGGAAAGAAAATCCGACGAAAAAACTAATGTTATTATTAATTATAGTGAAGTATTGATTATAAATAAACATACCGATTTTTTTCTTTCCTCGATAATCCCTTCCAAATATGTGATTTTTGCATTATGAGGGAGAGAATCATACAATTCAATCTGCCTTCTGGTCAGACTCTCGTACGTCCTTATTACCATTTCCTGAAATGTGAAGTGTTAGTCACTAATAAACTTGAATAAATTGGAAAACTATCACGCACAACAATCTTACCATCGTAAGTATTCTCGTGGTTCTCATCGACCGCATTGTTCTCATTTCCATTCTCCATATTTAAGTAAGAGACAAGTATATTTAACAGCTTTTATTACTCGCAGAACAAGAAAAAGCGGAAGAAAGAAGAGGTATGTATAAAGTATAAGAAAAGTTTAATTTATACCTAAGTGTGAACGTGTACAATGAAATAAATAGTCATCCAATCCAATAATACATCATTTTCACCATACATCTTTATACAATGGTATGTAACAGATTTTTTTTCCAAACTATACGCAATCAGAATGAGACGAGACGTTTGGATTAAATGCTTTAAATTTTTATATAGGATGGGAAGAATATACCAAAGTTTCTCCCGCAGCAGCGAAAAACGCGTTATTATATAAACAAGCTCTTAAAGATGCATTAGACATTGGTATATCACTTAGTTATTTTCTTGGATTATTGGATATGCCAGGTATGACCGCTTATGTTGGTTTATTTATGATTGGTAAACCAAAACAAGGAGAAACTATTTTTATCTCGGTAAGTCCAACTTATTTTCATATTTTATATTAAAAATATAAATATAAAATCACCTTTCTAAATTACACAGACTGCTGCTGGAGCTGTTGGACAAGTTGTGGGACAAATTGCCAAAATTAAAGGATTAAAAGTTGTTGGGTCAACTGGTGATGATAGTAAAGTCGATTATATTTTGAATGAATTAAAATTTGATCATGCCTTTAATTATAAAAAAGTTGATATAGATCAAACTTTAAAAGAAACTTGTTCCGAAGGAATTGATATTTATTTTGATAATGTTGGGTAAGTCAATCAAACTCCCTTACGTAATATTATTATTATAAAAAAATTATTTTAATAATCAAACATCTTGTAGAGGTGAAACACTTGATATAGTTTTAACACATTTAAACATAAACGCCCGCGTAATTGCGTGTGGAATGATTTCTCAATATAATAATGCAAAATCAACGTCATATGGTATTAAAAATCTTGGATTAATTATACCTAGAAGAATTATAGTTCATGGATTTATTGTATTTGACCATTATAAAGAATATTATGAATCATTCCAAAAGGATATGGTACAATGGTTGAAAGAAGGTAAATTAAAATATAAAGAATATGTCGTTAATGGCATCGAAATGCTCCTCAAGCTTTCTTGGATATGTTTAATGGTAGGAAGACAAATAAAAAATAAATAAATCTATTTGTGAATCATTACATTCTTTCATATTTACGCGCAACAATTTACAAGAATAAAATTAAATAACTCATAATTTATTCGTTAATAATATAATAAATAAATAAAAAAAATACTTCAATTCGCCTTCGCACTCTAATCATTTCAGTAATCATCTTCCAGTCTGCAAGAAAGCTTTGAGAAACTACCTTAATACCTATTCTCGAATAAAATCATCATCTTTTTTACCTTCCAACTGCCTTAAATACCCCAACAATCTCTTTTTATGTATAACACCAACGTATTGTCCACAATTTACTACAATAATATATCTTAATCCCAACTTCTTAAACATCTCCAATACAACTTCTAATGAAGCATTTTGCGAAACTGTTAATGGAGCCTACGAAGTAAATCGGTTAGATATTTATGTATAAAATATAATAAAAAATGCTGTTTATTAATTCAGAGCTATTACCTGATCAGTGTAAACTGTAAAATTAACAGATTCTGAATCAAAAGGAGGTTCTTTAAAACAACATCGTATTGTATCATCTGAACTATGCAACGAGTTTATTGCATGTTCTAGTTCAGTTGACGCTATATATCCAACCAATATGGAATCATCTACAATAGGAAATCCTGCATCCGAATATCCTGACATAGCTAAATATTACAAATCATAAATAACCAAGTATATATAAATATATATACACGCATATGCTATGAAGGAAATAACACTTGCCTAATACTTTCAGCTTAACCTTAAGTTCACCAATAGTATTCGGATCTTTAACATCAATAACTTCTAAATCTCTCTGACATAACTCTAATGTAGTGGTAGCTTCAACATATTCTTCATTGGAATTTAAAAACGGATGACCAACTAAATCTATCAATAGTTCATAAATACCATGCTTTACTATTCCATCTGCTACCCATTTTGATATTATTATAGCTGTCATAATTGGCTATAATTTAAAGAGCAAGAAAAAAATAATAATTAAATTAATGTCTTTTTTTTTTAAAAAAGGGGTACTTATATATCTTACCAAAACATAAGTTAAAGCACCGGTTAATTCAAACATAATAACAGTTAAAGAAACTGTCATTCTTGTAACTCCAGCTAATGAAGCTGCTGCTCCAACCATTGCATATACACCTGGTATCACACAATCGTTATCTTTATTTTGATTACATACTGCTGCAAATATGGGAAAATCCGGATGTGTCCTATTAATTTTCATTTAAGAGAAATATATTACTGATTATGATTCATTAATGCATGTTGATTTCTTTACACTTACATAGTTAGGTATTGTATGGCGATTCCAAGCATTCTTCCAAAACATGCTCCAATAAGTAAGGAAGGAATAAAAATTCCAGCAGGTGTTCTTACTCCAAACGTAATTACACATGTAAGAAATTTTGAAATTAGTGCGAGTCCAAGTAAACAGAATACATCAAACATCTCCTCGGGTGAGTTTCTGCAACATGAAAGGGATTAACAGATTTAGTATTTATATAAATATAATGTCTGGGGAAAGAGTTATAAATAACGCACACGCATAATCCTTTGTGATCATTTTCACCTTTACATTCGCTAAACAAATCATACACTAAATCCGTGCTTGACATCTTGGTATATCTATTCCAATAATTTACAGACGCGGTGATTATAACAACCATCATTACTTCAACTACCGGCCATTTTTTCAACCATGATCGATTTCGAACATATTTTGTATATAAGATAATTAATTTACATAATAATGCACCGAATAATCCCTAAAAATTCAATAATTTAATAAAATATAAAATGGAAGAAAATGCATAAACTTAATTAATTAATTTCATATTACCCCTAAGATTCCAAGAATCAAGAAACTGACTATTTCAAAAGTATGCCAATCCTTATCATAAGAAACTTGGAACATAACGATTTTTCCTGTGCCGAATGGATTTATCAACTAAATTAATAAATATTAACAATGTCAAACATTAATATACACCATAATATATCTATTTTTAAAAAAAAAAAAACGGAATGATCCCTTTCGAATAATATTTACCTTTAATGAAACCGCGGCAACAATGGCACAGAAAAAACTTCTGCTTAGAGTTTTACTTGGGAAATAATAACTAACTTCTTCCAAAGAGAATAGAACACCTCCAATTGGTGCGGCAAAGGCTACACTTACACCCGCAGCTGCTGCAGCTGATATAATTCCCCTACGCTTACCCTCATTTTTGTTGTATTTATGAAAAAGACGACTTAAAATATTACCAATACAACAGGCAATATGAACAAATGGACCTTCTTTTCCGAGTGTCATGCCAGCCGAAACTACCATAGCCTGAAGAAATTTAAAATTAATTAGCTTTCTTAAATAATAGTGAAAAGTTTTAATTACATACCAGTGATAATGCTTTGACCCAAAGAGTTCTGATACCGAGAAATCCACGAATTACAAAACCGCTTAAGATAGTTTTGACTTCGGGAATACCACTACCAGCGGCGTAAGGCTTCAATTGTTTCCGTTTCGGTTTTACAACTTGTTGAGTGGAACTCTTTGATGATGGGGTGGCATATAAAGAATTATGTTTTACAAGCAAAACCGAACCAGTCGCAAAAAGAAACTAAAAAAAAAAAAATATTTTTTTTTTAACAAAGTATTGAATAAAGCATTCATAACAGTTTAGTATATTTTCATACCGCTACAAAAACATAAAAAAAAAAATTGAACATGTCAGCATTATTATCTATTTGAAAAGCTTGAGACCATGACTTCCATTCTTCACATTCTTCACCATTTACTATTATTAAATATAACAATTTAATATGCATTTATATATTTAGATCAACAAAAAAAAAATTACATCTAAAGATTTACTATTTTTATGGGCACAACAGAAATTCCTGTTTAATCTAAAGGAAGTTGTACAATATCCTTCTTTCAAATCATATCCCCATTCTGCCGCGATGTCGACACTAGCGGCGAAACAGGCTGTTACGATACCTGTTAACGAAATAAATTCGGATTAGTGAATTAATCGAGAAACTTTCAGAAACATTCTAGGCGAATTTATTAAATTACCTATTAGAAAAACGAGAATCCAGCCTTGTGCACCGTCATATGTTTGAATTATCCATCCACGAATTCCTTTAATTGAGTTTAGCTTGCGTACACGAATTCGTTCTTTGACGTAATCGTGGATCCAATCTGAATAAACGTAACGTAACCAAGGGTAAATGAGATTCTTTCTTGAATGAAAATAAGAAAATGATGATAAATTGATCTTACCGATTGTCGTATAATCGTCGTACCAAACACGAATACCACTTCCTTCACTAACCAAGGCTTGTTTGTCTTCATCATAAGCGCCACTTCTTCTCTTAAATCGTCGAATTGGCTCAGTGAGTGCTTTTAATTGCGAAGGATTCCAAGTATGTCGTCGCGCACCAAAAGTAGGTCGTTTAGGCTTAGGACGCGAAAATAAACTATTTATATATATAATAAGTTATTGCTTAATAACGAACAAAATAGAATATAAAAATCATCCTAATTAAAGTGAATTCGTTCAGATTGTGAATATATCTGCTAATCGATAACAAAATAAAATACTACCCAACGGCGATATCATCCTCGGACGAAGTTCTTGCGGAAGGAAAATGACTATAATTAACAGAAGGCTCACGAGCACCTAGCAGAGAAGTAGTTTCAGCAGGCTCATTCACATCGTTTTCCAATGTTCTGTCCCTTACATTTCCTGGAGCTATGGGAGAAAACCAGGGAAGTTGCCCAGCTGATAAAAAAAGATTTGATTATTATTATTTTGTTTGATTAAGTTACTATTTAATAAATCAATATTGTAAGCTGTTCGTTACCATTATCATTATTTGAACTTGTAATTGCATCGTCCGTGTTGCTAGCCTGACCATTTATGCTTCCTCTTTGGCTTTCGTCAGCCATTATAATAATTTAGAATTGCAAACAAGAAAAGATCGAATTTAAAACACCGAATATAAATGGTTTTAAAATTAGGGGGTTTCGTATCACGCAGCTCAAATTTCACCCTGCATTAAATATCAACAAATGACGCATAAAAATCTTATTTTATCATATCAAAATGAGGGGGGTATAGGCTCTTAACCTGTTCTGCAACTTTGATTGTCACGTGATGCTTAGTTTAAAAAATTTTTTTATTTATATATGGAGGGATAAGACTATACCCGGGTACATTTTAAGGATGCCCCGACTTTTAATTAATAAAACCATATTAACTTTGATTTAAGTGGCGCAGTAGCATACTTCATTGTTTTCTCTGACTGCGATTATTAGGTCTTTTTTTTTTCGTATTATAGAGCGAATAAATGATGATACCGAATAAACAGGTAACATTTTCTTCGGTAATTGATCGGCACGGCATATCACATATCGTTACAATAAAATAAACTTACTGATAACGTATATTATACTTTGTATTGTAATAGAAGTTTAAAAAATCATATATATTAGCAAAATAAAAAATTTTTTTCCATTTCGTTCTGATCAAGTTCTCATAATAAATTTCCTGGCTTAACGATGAAATCTTCTTTGCTTTCTTGCTTTTCTTGTTTTGTACATAAAAATCGTGATAATGTAAACGAAAGTCCTACTCCCTTAAAAGTATTTCCCACAATTAGGAACGAAGGTGTAATTCCAACTGTCAACGTAGTTCCTAACACTGTTGAAAATCTAGAGGTCACTACCATCACTACTTCTACTGCCAATTTCACGCAGGATTTATCCCCATTAAAGAATTCCGGATCACTTGGAAATGGTAAAACCTTTCCCATAAATAAAGGAAATTCTACCGAAAGCTCTTTTTGTTGTGGTCGAAAAAACTGTAACTCTCCAAGATCAACTGATCCAAATAATTCCGGAAAATCTTTCACTTATTGTACTTCCAATTGTTTTTGGGAAGAAATTCATACTCTTACTACCTCAAAATTAACGCTTCTTTCCGAAAATGATCCTGATTATGATCGCGTTAAGACACGATTCGATTCCACAATTCATAATAATGCAGAAATCAAGTTTATTTTAAGATTACAAATGTCTAAAATGATAACAGATAAATTTTTGGAACATAAACAGTTAATCGCCGAGAATCATGCAAAAGATGGAAATATGTTAGTCCATAGAATGTTTCATGGAACTTATTATGCATGTAGTACGGAAAACTTGTGGAATGATGATCGAAAATTTTGTGCGGAAAGTTGTGGCATGTGCGGTATTATTCAAAAAGGGATGCTGAAAGAAGTTTCAAGACAAAATCCACGTAGGTTTACGATCATTAAAATCTCTATTCTTTTATATATGTATATATAAATATGTTTTAATAATCCCATTTTATTATCATTATTATTATTATTAATTTTAATTATTTTATGCCAGGAAAATTATGGTTTGCAAAGAATGCTAGAATTTCATTGGAATATTGTCGTTATGGAAATGAAAATTTATTTACTATGTTTGTTGTGGACGTTGTGAATGCTCAGGAAGCTGAAATTTTAGTTATCGATAACAATGAGGTATATAACAAAGTATGTTATCCTTTAAAATTGGTAATAAATGTATTAACTTCTTTTTTTTTCCTCGAATAGGCTACTCTACCAAGATTTCTCATCATATTTAAAGTTAAAGGATCTATTTCTTTTATTTAGGAAACTAAAATCTATCCTTTTAATATTTTTTAGTTTAAAATATTTTATTGTTATAATAAATTATGCATTAGTTAGTTAATGGTGAGAAAAAATTACGGTTCCCATAAAAAAAAAAAATTTAACTTTGGCTAAAATTAATAATTCAAATTCTATATCTAACAACTTTTTTTTTTTTTTTTAAAAAAAAAAAAATAAAAGTTAAATTACAAACAAATTAACCAATCTAGTTCTCGAGAAAATTGCTAAAATTTGTGAATGGTTTTGATAAATATTACGCGAACAACGTTTCATATAATTCATATAATCTTTCTTTGGCTTCGGAAGATCCATTTTTGGCAGCTTTTTTGTACCAGAACATAGCCTGATCTTGATCTTCAAGAGTTCCAATTCCATTCTCAAAATAATCTCCTAAATTATATTGAGAAAAGGGATCATCATTTTCGGCGCCTTTTTTATAATACTCAAAAGCTTTAATATCATTCTCATTCTCATGATAATAATTGGCTAGAATATTATATGCTGATATTACCCCGTTATTTGCAGCTTTTTCATAATATTTCATTGATAATTCAACATTAATTTCACAACCCCATGCAGATTCATATGAATTAGCAAGAAAATACATTGATAAAGCATCATCTTTCTTGATTGATTTACGGAATAATTTGTTGGCTTTTACATAATTCAGATCTACTACCATTCCATTATAATAAAAGAAACCAAGTAAACAAATGAACCTTGAATTCGTTTGATGTTGTTCAAGCCACTCAAACATTTCTTCTAAAGTAGTATCATTCTCCGTAACGATATTTGTGATCTCTTCAACAAGGTCTTCATACTCATCATCAATTTGGTCAAAAAGATAATCATATAATTCATCCGAAAGTGAAGCAAGGTCATGTTCATTTTCGCTATTCTCTGTTGAATCATCCGAAGAATTTAAATCGTTTGAACCTTCATTAGTTGGTTCTTGCTTTTCATTTACGTTATTCGCTGTTGAATCATCCGAAGAATTTAAATCGTATGAACCTTCATTAGTTGGTTCTTGCTTTTCATTTCCATTCGATTCTGAATCCTCGTCATAATTTTCGTTATTCTCTGTTGAATTATCCGCAGAATTTAAATCGTATGAACCCTCATTAGTTGGTTCTTGCTTTTCATTTCCCTTCGATTCTGAATCCTCGTCATAACCTTCAACTAATTGATCAAATTTTAATAATAAAGACAAATTATTTGAATTCATTGAATTTGAATGTGCCAAAGTCACATCAATATCATTGTTGGTGGTAACAGGTATTTCTTCTAAGAGATGCTCTTTCTTTTCACCCATCGCACTTAATCTTCCAAAAACTTGTTGTATATCGGGTCTTTTATCAGGGTCATTATCCCAACATTCTAAATAAATAAATTAAAACATGTTTTTTTTTAAAAAAATAAAAATAAAAATAAAAAATAAAAAACACACGTATATATATATTATATACATACACACGTACGTAATATAATTTAATATTTACCTTTATATATATGAACGTATTCGTCAGGTGTATTAGGAATTGCATCTTCCCGACGTCCTTCAGCAATTTCTATGGCTAAAGTGAACTGATTTTCATCTAAACCGAATGGAGTTCTTCCGCTAGTAAGTTCCCATAACAGTATACCAACACTATAAACATCTGACTTTTTACTACGTTTATATAAATTTTGTTTGAAACATTGAGGATCAATATATGGCAAAATTCCCGAGATTTGATTTACAGAACTGGTGGTTTCATTTATTCGCTTAGAAAGTCCAAAATCGGTTAATTTAATTGATTTTTGATGAACCAATACATTATTCGAATGCTGTTTCGTATATGAAAAAATATATGTTAGAATTTTATCATTTATAAATACCTAAAATTAAAATTAATAAATATTTATTTACGAGATCACGGTGAATAATATCTTTTTCGTGCAAGCACAAGATGGCATCGGAAATTTGTGTAGCGAACTTTAACTTGAGATCCCATTCAATGGTTGAAAAGTTTTTCTGTAAATAACTTCGTAAGGTACCACCATCGGCATACTCCATTACGAGTAAATACTTGAATGTGTTTTTATTCTTTTTATCTAAATTTGTTTTAAAAAAATTATTTATAACAATATTCCTATCCGATTAAGATAGTTCAGATAAACTTACCTTCTGTTTTGGTGATACCGTAGAATTTAATGATATTCGGATGGAAATCAACTTTTCGCATTAATTTTAACTATTCAATTTTTTTATAAAAATAATTAATTAATTGACTCGAAATAATAATAATATTAAAAATAATAAATTCAACTTACTTCGTTTACAACTTCCTTTATTGTGACGTTGCCGAGGCCAAATGATTTCAGGGCAAATATGTTGGAAGTATTTTTCCAATTTGCTTTATAAACCTTACCAAATCCTCCTTCTCCAACCTTGGTTGTACTATTAAAAACATTATATTCATAATATTCAATAAATTCATCTTTAATAGCATTTTCGATCCATTCTCCCAATGCATTTTTGGTTTGCACTTCGTTTGTTATAATACTTGACATGTTATCAGTAATTTTAATTCTTTTTTCTTTTTTTTGTAAAAAATAAAAAAAAAAATATGATACAATATATATATTATAAACTGTTCATATTCGCTTTCTATATATGTAATTAAAAGTGATTTTTTTGTTCGATCATTTTAATGACATTTGTGAGTCGAATTAGGTAAAGCTTAATTTATAAATTGTATGATCATTTCCAAGCTTAGCAATACATCTTTTCGCGTGAAATTAAAATTGACAAATCAATGTAACAGTTGTAAACCTTCAATGGTAATGTCCGCCTGTCCCACAAGAATTTCCGAAATATACGCCCTTATTGCAATTCCTTTTTCCTCTATTCACATACATTGATTGATATTTTGTAATTTATTGTCAGATTTAAGAAGTGAAGATTTAGACTTGAGACGAATTTCTGAAAAATTTAAAGTTTTAGATTAACAACTTGAATAACGAAGACAGACCTGGCGAAAATAATGGGGTTAGTTTTTTTAATGCGATGAATGAAAAATGATAATAAATTATTTAAAAATTATTTTTATATTCTAAAAGAGGAACATAAAATACATATATTTTATTTTTTAATAAATATTTGCAATAGTTTCCATCTGCATAAATATATGCTTCAATCTAACCTTGCATATTATTCATATTATAACTAAAACATTTTAATCCGCCATGCAGGATCATAAAAATAAAATTAGACCATTGGATTTCCTCTTGATGTGATGGTTCGAATGGTAGTCTTTAAATATGACAATATCTGTGCCAATGAAATTAAGTGGCAAAATCCACCAATCAATGCATTGCTATAGTAACTGTGGAGTTATCGGCGATTACCCGTGAAGTTACGATATAATTATT